ATTATTATTATTATACACATTAGGTACTTACTTCAGATATTGTTATATAGGCTCGTAGGTATACTCACTACACAGCACTGCACGACAGCAGCGCCCACGATCAATGGCATTCACCGCGATAAATGTTGAAACCGTGTGGATAAATATTACAAGAAATTCGTCAAACCCTAACGTCCCTCGATCCACCATCGATGTGCAATGTGCATGTACTATAACGGTTATCGAATGGCCGATGAACCGAGATAATTTCTCATGAACAGATTTTCAAGTTTGAATACAACAATTCAAGTTTTATAATATAATATTCTATTACTTACTGAAACATTTATATAGTTATTTCTGTGTAACCCGATAATAATGCGTGTAATATAATTGTATTATAATGGATATCGAAATAATATTTATTTTTCACGTGCTTGGCTCTTTTTTTTACATATGCCTAGAGGTGCCTATGTACCATTTGTAATTCCATTTGCTTAAACATGAGTATGCTTAAGCGTAATACATAAATTTAAATTAACATTGGCAAACCTGTTGTAACAAAATATATATTGCAGTGCGAAGTGGACTAAAAGTGATTTAAACAATCATAATATAATAATAATTCATAACTAAAAGAAAAAGAGAAAGGAAACAAAAACAATAAAGAAGAATTTAAGTTTGAAAATGTTATAGAATGTAATATATTTTAATATTATATATATATATATATAGATTACAATAATTTGTTAGATACAGCTGACGTCCAATGGCCATCATTAAGGTACGCTTTAAAACAATATAAAATTTTAAAGTAAAGATATAAATATATAATACACGTAATATAATATATTGATATTATATCGCTATATTATATTATTTCTATTGTCCGTCGATTACGATGAAGTATCCAAAAACATTGAACTAGGAATCATTATCATCATGTCCCTAAATCGTCGTAGTACCTACCCATGTCCTATATTATGTATATTATATACGCCTAAACAAATTAAAACAAAAAAAACTTTTCGTGCATTTCGTTAATAACTTGCGGTTAATTCAACCCGCAACTTTTATAATTACCTGAATTAAACGGCGGAGGTGTATGATAACAATAATATTATTTTAGTGGTTAGTTTCATATTGTCTATGCTCGACGGGTTCACGTGTGTCATGTGTGTGCGTCGTGTAGAACAGTGGCAGACGGCAGTGGCGGCGGAATGGCAGTGGCGATCGGTACATCCGTTTAAAATTAGCCGAGCGACCGTATCGAAACGAGTATTATAGTTGTTTGTGTGTGTCCACCGCGGGCCGCCGCCACTGCAATAATAATAATAATATAATATTAAAATACAGTACTATTATATGTACACCAATATACCGATTGACCGTAATACCTCTAAAATTTTCATTACTGCTAATAATATCGTCGTCGTTTTATTTTAAAAGTGATTTTAAAAAAAACGGTGTGTGAATATTGTGTGTATTTTATTTTTTAGGACGTCCCCGAGGTGTGCCCTTGATTTTAGAACGTTTCTGTATCGACTTATCTCTTGACAGTTTTACTCTATCTACGCGAACCCAGAGACTATACCTATAACATTAACAACCGCAATGTCGTATAATATTTCACCATAATATTGTACACTCATAATAATATTATAGATTTAAATACTACTGAATTTTTTCCTCAATTCGGTGAAATCTACCCGATATTAATTTCGAATTCGACATTTATTGTTCCTGATTTCCCATGTAGAGAACCCTCGACTTTGTATACTCTTTGAACTTCTATATGACCTGTTCAAATGTTTGAGCTCTTTTAACTTTTGCAGCTGCTAATCGAAAGCTGGAAATTATATTCAACTCTGTTAACTAACAATATATTGAAGTATAAAAAAAACTACTAACTTATGTATAGTTATAGTGGGAATTAAAATCCTTGATCTCCTCTTTCTCTCTGTAAAATAATTAATTTTGCAATAGCAACACTTTTATAGATAACATAATGATGTATGGAAGCAACACGTCGAAATAAAAATGTTTCTTCTTATAACATTATAATATTACATACATTTAAAAAGACGAGTTTTGGTCATATAATTTGTTGTATTTTTACTGAATATAACTATAATAGGTATCGATAGAAATATTAGTAGATAAACGAATACTTAGGTTTGAGTAGATACTTAACATGCCGTACAAGATAAACTGTACATTCCCGTTTAATATGTTTCAAAATAATATACTTTAAGGTTTTCCGCTATCGATTTTAATAAATAATAGTAATAATATGTCACAGTTTCAGCTACAATATTACTCTATACGACCGTTGGTACTATATCATAGTTTGTACAATGTATTATTTTGTAAACACATTATTATGTGTTGATATACCTACCCTATAATAGTATAATCATATTAACTGTTTTTACAAGGCATTAGGTACATAATATTATCCATTACGTGCAGTACGGTACCTACTCAAATACTCGTACAGGATTTATGATATTCTCTGTACAAATAAAATATTATTTTCATAATAAAGGAAAATTCTTGAGCAAATAATTTAGAATTTCCACGGAATTCTATAAAGTTTTAAACGTTAATTGCGAAACCTAAAATTAACTATATAATATTATGCAAAGAAGATTTTTGTTATTAATCAAAATATATTGTTTAGTTCGCAGAAGTGTACAGACCCATTTAAGTTAATACTTTACTCGATACTTACTGCTTGTAAGAACTGTGAATTACAGTATCGTAATAATATAATATACCTACCGTTAAAAAGATATTTTAACTCATTCTTGACGATTTTTTTTTTTTTTGGTTTAACGATTTACTCGCGGTTACGATTAAGGTTATTTTAGTATTTTATTTATTTATTGTGTATTGTATTTTATAAAAATTTAATGATAAAATGAATTATAATAAAAATATTATTTATGTAAGCCATACATGATTTTTTTTAGCAGGGGTTCGAGTACCCAATAAAGATCAAATGGATGGGACGCCATTGCAAACAGTTTGGGAAACACTGCATAGACTACGCAGAGTAATCGTACTAAGAGTAAAACATATTTAGCAGTTTTAGTTTTAACTTTCGATATAAAACGTTTACAACACTAACGTGTCCTCGTATTCCCCACCGTAAGTTTAGATAATTTGCTTATCAATCTTAACCAGAGTGGATACTCTATAATATTGCATTGATATCATATTATACTACATAGTAAACTGATTATAAATTAGTAAAATAAACAATAGGCTATAGGCTATTGCCTATATAATATAAGTAACCATCTATACGTAATTAACTCGTATTTGTTATTCTTTTGTACGCTCAATGTCTCGATACAATACATTAAATACATACAAATAATGTACAATAGTAAACATAGCGTTAGTGAAAGTGTAAAATCTGTTTTTCTTATGTGAGTATAATACTTATTACATATTATTATTGAAGAGGGTGCTCGAAAATATTGCTTTAGCCGTTTGGGACTCCACCAATCTATTAAATAAGCCCTCGAGTGTGGTTATTAATACACTAAAAATAGTATCAATAAATTTAACTCAATAAGATTCTTTAAGTATTTCATTTAGCTTATAATAATATTACATTTCTGTAATGTTTTCTTTTTTTTTCAGTACAACATTCTTGCAGTCTCGCGTATTATTTGTAATTTTGATATTTTTAAATTAAACGAATACATATTTTGTCGTAGCAATTTTTTTTTGTAATGAATTATAAAATATTATTTAAAAGTTAATTTGAAGCTCATAAAATAAGTTGTATAAATTGTTATTATAAAAAAAAATATGTTTAAATCAAATTATAATAATATATTATGTTGTTGAACATTGAATAACCCATATTATCATAATATTACATAATTGTTACTGTTTTCACTTGATATAAATATCAGAAAATTTACTTATGAAAAACGTCCAATATAATAAATTGTGAGCTGGTTTTAAAATACACCTCCAATATGAACCGTCAGGCATGACGTTTATCGATCATTTCAGGTATATTCTAAATGGCCAGTGTGAGTGTCCTTGAGGATTTTGTGTGTCTGCACCGACTGCAGTACAACACATACTATACACTCATCAAACTACACATAACATTATTCTATAAACTATAATAATAGGTATATATAGGTAGGTACATTATACGCCAAACGGCCAAAGTGATATACAAAAAAAAAATGTTGTCACAAAAGACATTTAGGTACTGGGATTTTTTTACACGTAGTTCGATTGTTCTTTATACCTATATTATATGCGTGTTGTTTTCCGTATTTTTGATTCAATGCCAAAACCTTACAAACACAACACTGGCACAGTTTTGATCAAGCGTGATGATTTTATTTTCACCAATTTTCTGTCCACTTATTTCATTGTACCCGCAGCTGCAGCCGATAAATGCCAGCTAAAATTAAACATCGTATAATTTAATATTTAACAAGACTTATACAATAACCATGAACAATCATATTATATTATAGGCACTGCAAACATGGTCTCGAAAACTGTATTGTGATATATTGTATCGTATAAAATAAATGTAAATAGAATCAAAATCTTAGGGTTAATCTTATATAGGTATACCTAATACATTTTAAAATAATTAAAGGTACATTCATTTTTTTTATGTTATAATAACTAATAAGTTATAACTAAATACAGTAGAAATCGGTTATAACGAGTTTCAAGGGCCAACTAGTTTTTCTCGTTATAACCGGTAACTCGTTATATGCGGTTAGAACGAACATTCGTTGAAACCGATTAAAAGCGGAAATACAAAAATAAAACCGACTTTTTTTATTTTAGACAAAAAATTGTTATTTACATACATTATTTATACATTTATTATTGAATTTATTATTTAACTTGAATTGATTTAATTTTTATTTAATTTCTTAAAATAATCTTTGATCGAACTTTGCTTCGTGTTAGAGTTGATCGATGTTTCTAAAAAAGACAACGCTTTTCTTTCAGCATCTGTACCTTCATATTTTGTGTAATAAAATCTTTCTAGTGTCCTCAATGCAGCACGAGCTTCGGATATTGACGGCATATCGTTGTTGTTTGAACCATACTAGTGCAGCTTCTTCAAGGTCCTTATGCTGTGCAGTGCGCAATCGTTTTGCGTTAAGTGACGTGGTTTGAAACATATTTTTCAACTTATCCTTGTTCTTCCATATGGTCGAAATTGTCGACGAACAGGTGCCGAATTCTTTTGAAATTACGCTGTTTTTCTCACCATTTTCTAAACGCCCGATTATACCGATTTTTTCGTCCAACGTAAACTGACGACGCGACATGGTGGAACGTCTACACACAACTGACGCTATTTGTAATTTTATTAACTTTAAAACACCAGAATTTGTAAGAATAATGTTTATTATTAATAAGTAATCCATATCTACACAACTAAAGATAATATGTCAATGATTAATCGACCTAAATACGAAAATAGTTCGTATCTTGCAGGTACTTGTTCATAGTAACCGGAAGGTCGTTAGTCAAGTTAGCTTTATTTTACTCGTTATAGCCGATAACTCGTAATAACCATACTCGTTGTAAACGTATATTTTAACATACAATCATATGCGCTCGTGCCGGGACCTAACGTTTTGCTTGTTGTAAGCAGTATCTCGTTCTAAGCGATGCTCGTTATAGTGATTTCTACTGTACCTATATAGTATCTATATAGCCTTGAGGTTTATTATTTGTAAAAAATTTAATTAAATTGACGTCGTGTTTTTGATTATATTTCTGGATTCAATAACGAATTCCTAGTTAGAGTCTATATAATATAGGTATAAACTATATAATATATTAAATACCACATCTATATGATTTAAATTTTACGATTAAATAATTTATTAATTAGAAATAACCCAATAAAATGTCTGTTACAAGACTGATGACTTATTTAAAAGTATGGAGAAATTATTATGATTCGGATGAGGGTTTTGATTTAATATGTTTTATTTTATTGTTTCGCACGGTTTTTATATTATTTTTGACGTTTCAGTTAACATAGATTAAGTGATTGGTCATACATAAGTATGCACACATATGTTTATTTGTTTATTATTGTTATTTACTGTTTAATCCTATTTTACTGCAGAATTTAAAATATTAAAATTTGTTATAGGTACAAATTACAGTTACTTAAAACGAAATTAAGAATATTACGAACAACGATAATTTAAATATTGTTCGATGCTCTTTAGACCACGGGGAATGAATCACTGAACGAGTGAAAATCCCCTTGGTTACAGTCTACAGCAGAGCTTAAAGGAGTAACGTACTATTACTACTACCTATATATATAACTTGCTGCCTGCAGTTTTGTGAAAAGGCACTTCAAAAGTAGGTTGGTATCTATATAAGTATTAATAACAGTAAAACCAGTGAAATAGAGCTTTCAAAGCAGTTCCGAGCAATCAATATCACAATTGACAATTTATAAACATTTCATAATAAAAGTCATAAAACAAATGTCCGGTTGTGACTGGTACAACGTCTATTATTGAATGAAATTGTCCTATCTTAAATTGCAAGTCTTTTACTTTGTGTAGCAGACACCAAATTATTTATTACTTAAGACATTTAAACTTCATATTTTTAAAGAATAAAATATAATATGTTTCACGTCTCAATAATATTAAATGTGAACGTATTATCTTGTTTTTATTATTTAATAAAATATAAATTTTTATACAGAGATAAGAAGCATTATAGGCGCGTAAAAGAAGTGATTGAATAATGTATTCAAGCACTGAAGAATGGCGTTTATACTGTCGATTTAAATATTGGGAAAACATATTTGTCTTTATAGTGAAATCAGTCATTATATTATATACATTGAAACGATTCTGAATTTTAGTTTTAAAAAAAATTGTAATCTATAATATGCATGGTTAACTAAGATCATTCAGAAATGAGAATACTAACAGAAATTATAGAGTTAAATTTTAATAGTTTGAACACACAGTTTAAACATGTGTTAAATGTTAATGTGTTATACCTTATACATGATAATTATCGATAAGTGCAGTAAATGTATAATAAGTATATGTAAGCACTTCCCACCAAGGATTATATAGGTACTTAAGAAGCAAAGAAGCTATTGAGATATAATTATTAATCTGTGATTTAATTTATAGTTTAAAATAATTGATTCAAAATTTAAAAATATAAAATTAGTTTTGCTTTAAATTTTGATTTTCAGATTAAATTTCTTCTAAATGTTAATAATGGCGATGAGTGATGACTTTCATATATTTTAATAATCAATATTTTAAAATTATTGTTATGATTTCATCAGTCATAAACAACTTTTTTACGTTTATGAAGGCAATGATTGTTTTAAGTTTTAAATTGTAAAAGTGCGACTGACTTTTTATTTTTATATTAAAGTTTCAAACAAGTTTCTAATTTCTAAGTTTCTACTAATCTCAGAACAAAAGTTTTAAATTTATTTGGACGCCTTATATATACTCTCCCACGTTATGGTTTTGTATTAAAATGTTTATTACAAATAAGACTACGAAATAACTTTGTTAAAATAGAAAGAATAATAGTCGAGTTCCATTTAAATTGGTCTTGTACTTAAATTAGTTAAATAAACATACAAGTATAATATCTATCTCAAATAAAAGTTCAACAAATAATCGAATTAGATATAATTGGACGACACGGACTACGTGTCTTTTGTTTCAGATCCCATACATAACGAGTGTTCAATTATCAAAGCTTTTAGTGCATATTTTTTTTATCACATTTGAAACGAAAAAGAAATACCCGTCATGTCTATAATATTTTATATTACAATTTGTATTATACAAATATGTTTATTAAATAGAAATCTTATTTTTTTTTTTTTTACAGACAATTCGATGCAGCAGTATATAAGAAGAGAAGAACAGTTGTCGCGTAAAATATTTTATTATTGTGTCTTGACAATAAATCCGTACGGTTTTAATGGACATCATTTGAAAACACGAGACCACGAGGTCTATAGCACATATTATAACGACGGCGGTATGCCGTTTTTTACGACCACGAGAAAAAATTATTGCCCGCAGTGCAACAAAACAGTGGTTGGCGCGGTAAGTTGAAATGTAATTTATATTGCTCGAACGATTGACCTATTGATTCCGGTCAGTTGTATACGATTACAAAGCGTAAACTGTTCCTTAATCTATTATAATATACGTCTTGTGATAATATATATATAGGCATATACGATGTACACACGTATTTATAATAATAGTCGTACATGTACGACTATCGGTAGTTGTATAGTTGCGTTATAAGCCTGTACAATGATGGTTGACGTTTAAAAGGATTTGGAGATAATATTATAATATTATCTATCAACTGCTATAATATTATCTGCACGGCATTATAAATCGAAATGTTTTGTTGCATTTTTTTTTCAACTTATCGTGATAAACCACCATCGGCTGTACAGAAAATCCGTAGTGAGAATATTTGATAAATCATAACGAGGAAGGAAAACAAAAAGAGAAACATCGAAGGACCACTCGTTATAATTACACTCCGATTCGATCGATTTAAATAAATCGAAATATGAAAGTAAAACTTTGACGTTAGAATAATCGTAGCATCGTCGTATAAATTAGTTTAAAATTGCAACGGCAATGGGTGTGCACGATATAATATGGCTTGCACTGCACAAGTGTGTGTATATGGTGCACAATTTATTATAGTCTGGTATAGATAATAAACATAATGACTATACAGACATTCCATTTAAAATTGTTTCGCCAATCACCTTGTTATCGTTATATACACCGACATCGCCGCGAAAACCGTAACATCTGTCTTACAGTGTCGTAGTGGTGTCTTGTATATATATGCAATCGCACTGCTTTGCCGTCATTTCGAGTCTTGTCAACTTGCCAATTACTGCGGTTAAGTAGAGTTTATCTGTAAATACCCGCTACAGCTATATAATTTGATAAAAGTGGTCACATTTTGATATTTAGTATATGAAATAATAATATAAACTGTACATGGTTTTTAAATAACCCTCGCGAGATGTCTCACACAACTATTATCGACCGAAATTATACTTGGGCAGAGTATACAGCAGCTCTGCAGTGCGACAGTATAGGTACTTACGTCAGACATGGACTTCGCTCGGGATTGCACTTTAAGATTACAATAATTGGTAATATATAATAATTATTGAAACACTGCACACTCGGTGATATTATACAGTGGGGCCTATAATATCTAATTACTAATTGGTAATTAGTATTAATTAAAATTGCTGTGTATATTATCTCCGATAATCACATTAATTTAATATAATTTTGATTATATATTCAAAGCGAAAATAATATGTTTAATTGGTCGATAATTAAACAATACATTTTTAAAACCACTTTCAGTCTTACATAATATATATTATAATAGCTGGTAGGTATATATAATGTACTTATGTACCCACTGAATTTAACTATGTAGGGATGAAATTAATGTTTACGACTTCCTTGAGTTTATGACCATTAAAAGTGTTTGTTTTAAAACTCTATTAGATATACAAGTACATGATAATGATTTATATTTAATTTTAAAATGTTTTTAAACGCGTTGATGGAATAATACAATAATTTATTTGTATATAGGAATAATATATGATTAACTTTTTAAGACAACATTATATTTGTTTTAATATTTGTAATTTACTAATAGATACTAATATTATACCAATAGTAAAAACAGTGTTCTTTATTTTTTTCACTTGGGTACACCCACGGTCATAGTTTTTCATGTTGTACCTATATTATAATACAAGTGACTTCTGGTATAAAGACTGCAATTTGAATAGCTCGTGGTGTGATTTTAAAGGATAATTACTTCTTGTATGAATATTGTAAGTGTTAAACTATATTATTACACGGCGTTTAGAACAAAGCGTTTTCATACAATATTTGCAAATCATTTTTTTTTTTTTTTTTTATATATATATTAAGGGTTTTGTTATGTTTTTTAAACCATTGTAGAAAAATGTAGGTCGGACAAAGGAGAGGCGAGGAGATTAAGCTCGGAAGTCAAAGTTCCATCGTTCCCCGGGGAAATTCGAATATGGTTTGTACGCGGCCCGGTGGCAGCACACCTTGGTTTCACTATTTTTCAAATGCATCACGTCTAAAACGTAACAAGATTTATAGTTTCTGGTCAATAGGTGCACGCGGAGGCGGCGGCGGCGGTAGGCGAAAAGAGAGTAATTGGAAAAGCAATCGATCGATGTGGACTTTGAGCGGTTTGCCTATATATACGTGTGTGTTGTAGTACGGTTTTCGAAAGGTTGACTTCGGCACGTGCACACATGCGCATGTGCCCAAGCACACACACACACACACTCACATGACGTGTG